AATCATTACTTTTATCTTTTATTAAAATTATATTTTCCGTATAATTGTGTAGTTATCTCAGCTAATATGTAATTACAGTATTAATACTTGCATTAGCCTACTGTACTGTACATACCTCTTTTTGAACTGTCACTTCAGACTCGCGTCGCCTCAGTCCATCCTTCTTCTCTTTGACATTCACGATGGGAAGTCTGGTTCATTTCAGCGAATCGGTTCTTTCGAACAGTTCGTTTCAGAGAAAAACGAATCAGCAGTCTTTACGTCATCACGTCGTCCCGTGCCATTCCGACGTGGCATACTCTAAAACCAAAGCACGTGTTGTTTAAGATGGGCCTATTCTTATTTTTTATTTTACACAGATTTATTTATTATAATAATTTCACTGTAATTTTGTAATTTTACTGTAATGGTTTTACTTGTTCTAGTTCATTCTGTTGCAGCCACGAATCACTTGATACAAATATAAATACAATTTGCATTTACATAGCCTACATTTAAACAATACTTAAATTATTCTCTTAGCTAAAAGGGTTTGCACTTAAAATGCTATTTTTAAAAACAACTCTGTTTTTGCATGTGTGCTCATGCGACTAACTAACATTTCTGTTAAGTAGGCCTAACTAACTTTTCGCTCCGCCCTCTGTCAAATCCTTGGTTCAATCTAAATCAGCTCACTCATCTGGGTCTATTTACAAATCGAGATTGTTCGAAAAAAGCCGGTTCTCGGTTCAGTAAATCGGTAACTGCCCGGACAGATTAAATTCAAATGGAAAAGAATGTGCAACTGATTCATTGAAAAGATACGATTCATTGAAGTGAATCTGATTCTTTCGAAGAATGAGTCATATCAATCAGTGCGCGTCTGACAGTACAGTTCCCACTGTTTCCCACTATTGCCATTCCAGTGTAAGTGCATTTATTCCGCCTCGGCGCTTTAAAATGTCAGTGTAAACAAAAGTGAAACTCCGCCTATTTTGAAGACCCCGTGTATGAGGAGAAGGTCTGTACCGGGTATGGTGTGTGCTTTTGCACGGGGATGTTTAGACCAGAAGTAACCGATAGCGGGACCGACCCGACTCCCGTTTCCAACTGTGGATAGATCAGCTGTTTTACACTGGAGCTTCACAACCAGAGTTTGTCTGGGCGCGGGATACAGTTTGAGAGCGCGCCTGGTTGATTTTAAAGGGATTAAAGTTGTTTTACTACCTCAGAATGAGTGACCTAGAGGAAGACTTTGCCAAGATTTTAATGCTGAAGGATGAGAGGATACGAGATCTGGAAAGACGTTTGCTGGAGCGAGAAGACGATATTAACGAGCTGAAGAGAAAGCTGCACAAATGTCAGTCCGTTTTACCGTGCGCGCAGATCGGACCACGGACACACCGCGCGCAGGGAATATCAGCCGAACCGCAGACGCACCAGGATTTATCAAACCAAATCTTCAGGAGAGTTGCCAAATCTGACAGGTGAGATTTCGCAAGTATTTACCATATGCAACTAATGCTTATGGCTTTGCACAAGTCTTGAGTCTTGACTTTTAATAGTTTGGCACTTCGTTGACATTACTTGATTTGATTCTATCTGTAGATCATTAAGTGTATTTGAGGTTGACGATTCAGGACATGAATGAAGAAACTCATGATGACAGAGCATCTTTGTGAAGCTTCAGAGAGAGGAGGAGGTGAGGGATATAGAGTGTATCATTGATCTAAAACATCATCATCATCATCATCCTCTCCCAGAGGGCTCTGAGCACAGGAAGCTTCATGCATTATCGGCTTTTAGGGTTTGAACGTGTAGCGCCCAAGAGCCTGTCTCAGGATATTTAATACGCCATTAGAAAGTGCTTTGTTTGACCATATGCTTCCCCTTCCATCAGCCATATTCTAAGTTACAAATTGTGTTTGGGCTGAATCTCAAAAGACCCTGTGGAAAACATATCAGCATCACCTCAGATTTGATTTGCATGCAGCAATGCCCACAAGAGGGCAGAAGCTCTGTTGTTGTTGTTTTCCTCCAATCACTTAAGGGCCTTCACATCACTAATAACCAAAAGTAATAGTCTTCATAATTGCATTTTTAGGAATGCTCACCCTTGGAGCATAGTATGTGCAATTATGTATTTGTGATAGTGTGAAGTTAGTATGAAGACAGATGTGCTGGCCTAATGACTCCTACCTTAATGATTTAATTATGCCATATTCTCTGTGCATCTTTGTAGAGGATTTGACTGAACTTTCTAAGGGTTGCTTATTGCTTTTGGCAAAATTGTTATTTTGAAAAATGCTTACAACTAATACACACACACACACACACACACACACAGCTTAATGAGCGCTGAGACCATATGCTGATAAACAAACTTTGCCTTATGATGCATCATCTGACTCTCAGTTTTTCCACTAATGACAATAATTGCAATGAGAATCCTACTTTTAGCATCTTGTTAGTGATGGAGAAATGCTGTATCACAATTTATAATCCACAATACGAGTTAATGACCTTCCTTTCATTTAAATTAAGCTTAAAGGGTTAGTTCACCCAAAAATGAAAATTAGCCCATAAATTACTCACCCTCAATGCATCCTAGGTGTATATGACTTTCTTCTTTCAGACAAATCCAGTCGAAGTTATATAAAAAAATTGTCTTTGATCTTTCAAGCTGTTTAATGTCAGTCAGCGGGTGTTGCATTGCTTCAGTCCAAAAGAAGTGAAATAAAAAGCACCCATCCATAAAAAAAGTGTCTCACACGGCTTCGGGGGGTGAACAAAGTCGTCCTGTAGCGACTCGATGAGTTTTTGTAAGAAAAATAACCATATTTAAAACATAATAATCAATTGACATTCGTCTGAAAGAAGAAAGTCATATACACCTAGGATGCATTGAGGGTGAGTAATTTATGAGCTAATTTTCATTTTTGGGTGAACTAAACCCATTAACATGTATTTTTAGAGGAGAATTCCCAGTGAATGGTGTTATTTAATTAAGGAATAGTAGAGACTTTGCCTCCTCAAGATTTGAAAGTGAGATCTTGGTGTCATCTAAAAAAAGAGCTGGTGCACTTGTAAGGGTCCCAAAGAGACAAAATGGCGGCAGATGTGAGTCTGTGGCGGAAAAGGGCAGCCACACTAGTCATGTTACAACAGATCCTCTTTCCATCGATCGACAGAGGAAGAACCCTGCAGGAAGAGTTTATAGAGGTGAAATTTAAAGCCTGTTTTTCTGAGAGAGGTCCTTTCAAGGACAGTGACAGTGAAAAAGTGATGGAAACGAGCAGCAGAACGAACGAATCTTGCATTCCTCGTTTGTTATTTTCAGGCATTGTTTAGATGAATTGTTCTTTGTGTGTTATTTTTGACTTCTTTAACTATCCAAAGAATGGTAGACATCTGGGTGCTGTTGTAGGCCTTTGGGATCTTTTCACAAGCGGTTTCAGATAGCAAAGATGAGGGTTTGTTTCACTCATGCCCGCCTGCTCATACTGTCTTTGTGTCTCTTTAAGCTCTGTCCTCAGTTTTTAGTTTATTAATCAGCTAAAGCTTGCAAAGAGAACATTGCAGGCCCAAAAAAGGCATCCAGATCAGATGCACAACGGTGCTTGGATATAGTCCACTGTTTCTTCAGAGAGTATTATTATCACTTAATTTATATATTAAGAATAGATAGCCCTATATAGCATCCATACACAGATATCATTGTTCTTAGGCAGGGCTGTGAAGTTAAACACCTCTGTTTGTCCGGCTTGTCTCTATAAATAGTTGCATTTTATGTTTGAAAGGTGCTATATAAATAAGGTTTTATTATTATTATTATTATAAAAATCACTAGCCCTCGGATCTTTTCATTGTTCCTGTGTGTCTTTCATAGTTTGCCACCTGAGGGCGCCGTATGTCCTTTTATAAACTTGAATACAAACTCAAACATGATGCATCTCTACCAGCTAAGCTCTCCACAGTGGAGATAAATCAAGCTATTTAAGCAATGTCAGTGAATATTAGAGGTGACCAGGGCTAACATTTTATTCCAGTGAATAAATATTTCTCAGATAGGTTTAGTTTTAAAGGCAATATCTGTGTAGACACCTACGGCAAGTTATGGCATTTGATCATTTCCAGTCATTACTGTCCAAGAATAAAACACAACCTCTTAAAAATAAAGGTTACAAAAGTGGGTGTCCACAGCGATGCCGTAGAATAAATATTTTGGACCACAGATTCCAATAAAGAACCTTTATTTTTAGTTGTCACAATGGAAACCTGCCATTAAATAACCTATAGGCTTTTTGAAAACAGTAAAACTAGGGGTCTTCAACAAGGTGTCTGTGGTGGTATAGCAGAGAAATATCAAACCATTCTTTGGCCAACAGAAATTGTATTTTATACATTCTATTAAAATGCCAACATATAAAACAGCCTACGTGACAACTTGCCCGACCTTGTCTTAAAACCCAGAAAAGCCTTCATTATAGCTGAGTTTTGTGTTAAAGTTTGGAATTTCTCTGACTTTTATGACCTCATATCTCCAGGTTTTAGGGATTCTAATTTAATTTAGCACATATTGTAAAGTTTTTGTCTAAAAAGTTGAAAGGTTACCACCTGTACAGAGCTGAACAGCCGTATATTCAAACTCAAGCATGATGCATCTCTACCAGCTAGGCTCTCCACAGTGGAGATAAATCAAGCTATTTAAGCAATGTCAGTGAATTTTAGAGGTGACTAAAGGGCTAACATTTTATTCCAATGAATAATTCTCAGATAGGTTTGGTTTTAAAGGCAATATCTGTGTAGACACATACGGCAAGTTATGGCATTTGATCAATCCTGACTGTCCAGGAATCCCGCGCGAGCGTTCCCTGCAGTCTCGAGCTCCACTCATTCATCACGTCACTGCCCACGAGCGACGCGCGCTCAGCCTCACACGGATACGCTCCTGTCAGAGCTGTGAGGATTTCTGCGGAATTGAGCGCTGATTCTTTCCTTTTCTTTTTTTCACACGGATACACCGAGAGACCGTTTCCCCCAAAGGTTCTTCTCGTTTCTGTAGTTTTGTAGGTCATTTTAGAGTAGAATAGAAGCTGGTTTAGTGCATAGTATTTCTTTCCTCTCAGTAAAGTTACTAAAAGTGCAGTTCTGGGAGGTTTTATTCGGTTCAGAAGGGATGATGATGGGGACTTTACGCGACCTCCAGTACGCGCTACAGGAGAAAATTGAAGAACTGAGACAGAGAGACGCGCTCATTGACGAACTGGAGCTCGAACTGGATCAGAAAGACGAACTCATTCAGAAACTGCAAAACGAACTGGATAAGTACCGCTCCGTGATCCGCCCGGCTACCCAACAGGTCCAGAGCCGTCCGGAGCTGCAGGAGCATCAGCGCACCAAACGCCAGGCAATCAGCGCCGAACCAGCCAACGTCCAGCAGCTGAGTCACGTGACCCTGCCCAACGTCCCCAAGAGTGCCAAGTAGGTTAACTCGAAAAAATATAACATTGAAATGATTAAATACGACATCAAAGTAATCGAATACTAAACCATCGAATGCGTCAATAAAACCATTCAATAGGCCTACCACCTAAAACAATCAATTTAAATTCCACTTTAAACTTTAATACAAAGTAGAGTCATCACATACCACATCATGCTTTCTTTAAAAAGTTGAATTTGTTATTTGACGAATTGAATATTGAATTAAAGTTAAAGTCATTAAACACCTCATAAAGCTCTATAAATAAATAATCTAAATTATCTATGAAGTAGCCTACAAATACCACTAGGAAACAACAGCAGTGTAACCATGAGGAACACCTTTCTTACAATAAAAAAAAAAGCCACCCAGCTCACAGTTCTCTGTTTTTTTAAAAACATGTTTTTTTATTTTTCAACTTTTGAATCTGACAAAATCCATTCCTACAGAACCCAAGGTTAGCTTAAACCCTGTAACATGGATGGATCCCTACAAGGAGACAAGAAGCTTCACTTCAGAAGATGCCCCAGTACACCAAATATTTGCATAGTGTGTCATACTGTGTATTTGGACACTGTATACTGATTTGACATACTGCTTTTTGCATAGATATTGTAGACAAGAAAAGAATGCATGCTGTATACTTTACTGAACTCACCAGTTGTTCTTCAGAACATCATCCATAAAAAATGACTGTAGTTTTTGCTAAAATAGTAACTAGTAAATATGTTATTTTTACACAGTTTTTTATCCACATATTTCATCAAGTAAACAGTTTTACTGTAGCAAGACTAGCTGGAGTAACTATGGTATTTTGGCAATGGTTTCCATGGTAACTTTCTTGAAAAGGACGGCAATAACATGGGCTGTGCAGGTTGCACAATTGAAATCATTATGATGTCTGTTGTAAATCTCAAAATTCACCGAGACAAATTCATTATATTTTATTCAAAATGCCATTCATTCACATTTGCAGAAGCATGTCATTGATGACGCTCCAAGAAAGTTTGATTTTCCACAAGGAAACATCTGAACCAGGAATAACATGTCCGTACTGAGCAGTTAATAGGAGCATTGATGTGGGAAATACCCAAAGACTATAATAACTGCTTTGTTTAACGGACTGGTAATTTGCTTATCAAAGCAGCATGATATCATGCAGCAGGTGGATCACGAACACTATTTCACTGTTACACATGCTCAACTGTTATTATGCACACAATAGTGTGTCGTGTTGTGTTTTAATTGAAATAGACACTGTCAAGACAGAGGACCTAATCAGACTAAACAGTACCCCTGGAAGTGAAGGATTTTTGCATTTCAGCCTGCTGTCATGAACACACAGACTCCTAAATTAATTTGCATCTAGTGGTTTGGCAGCAGAGGAACATCATTCTTCTGTTTCTGACCCGCATGCCTCCCCCATCTGCTCTGCATCTGACATTTGCAACACTGCACTAATTTACAATGTAACCTTGTTTTGTACAGAAAAACCCTTTGAACCCTATCGCAGTAGTCTTTTCTTCTATTCTGCTTGCATCTTGAGCTGATCAGCACTTTAAGGAATGATTATGAAGATTTAAAAGAAAAAAGCTTTCATAACAGCATGTGTTGGGCTGCCAGATGGGAGCGAACTGGCATCAATATTGCTTTACACTTCGAAAGCTCATAATGTGTTGGAAGAGGATTCTATATCTTTGTGTGTGATCAGGGGGATAACTGTTATTTTGGATGAAAATCCATTTATCTTTATTTTGTGTGTCTTTTTTGCTGATGCATTAATGTATCCACTGTCCTGTTGCTTTCTTTTTTTCTTCGAAGTAAAGGCAAATTGTGCTTTCGCCAAAATTGATAATAGTGAGTGACATACCTCTTTCTTTTCTTTCAGTGGAGTGTTTTTGCCATTTGAATGTCACTTACAGTGCCTCTGTCTCATAACTGCATCTTGTTTCTTCCTGTTTCTGATTCTTTTTTGCATGTAAAGGGGTCATCGGATGCTACATGCACTTTTACAAGTTGTTTGAACTTTTAACTAGAAGCAGATGTAGACAAGAATGACTCCTAACAAGCGACTGAGGTGTTGTTGGATGTAATAATGAACATAGCAGTCGTCATTTACTCCTGACATCTGAGCCGCTGAAGACGCAGTGGATTACGTTTGTTTTTGAAGGGAATGTGCCCCGATCTAACTAAATGCGTTTATGTTCACGCAAATCATTCGTGATCCAGCTTCACCAACAGAAGTGAGTATAAGGTTTTTTAATTAATCTTTGCAAATCACCTTTCCTAATAATGTGCTAATTAGCAAGTTTCACGATGAATGCGGCTAAAGTAAACAGTCCCTCAGAGAGCGGCTAGAAGAGAGGGGCGGGGTCAGCAGAGCTCATTAACATTTAAAGGAAAATGCTACAAAACTGCTTGCTTGAAAAGAGCTGTTTTTGACAGGGTAAAAAGGGTGTTTGTTTTACACTACCATTGAGAAATTTTAACCAAACTATGTTACAGACTTTTCATTAAGACCCTAAAGAATCATTTCAACTTGTGTAAAATGGGCCTCAGATGACCCCTTTAACTTTGCAGTGGGATTTGATACACTTAAAATGATGAAAGACCAGACTTTTTTTTTTTTTGAAGTCTTGATTGATATGTCTCTTCTGAACTCATCTCTGACACCTGGGCGGTCTGAGGTCTTTTGAAATATCAGAGATCAGAAGTTCTGCTCTGAAATAAGAATGTCTGCACTGGACCCTTTGTCCTTTGGATATGACAATTCATGACACGCTTCTGAAAACTTTGTCATGTTTCTTTGTGTAGTGGTTAAAGCTGCAAGATTGCAGGTTGGATCTCCAGAAGGAGGGAACCATGAGCCTGTAAAACATGAATGGTGGAAATTGTTTGTTTGAGCTTTATTTCAATAACCAAAACTGCTTTTTTTTTTTATAGATTTACTTCTAGTTTTAGTACTTGTACCTATTACAGGAATTGAAAATGCCAATATGGCTGCAGAGTGGACTAACTTGGGACTTAGACTTAACCAGACTGATTCAGGTTTATTGTTCAAGGCTGTTCTATTGTGACTTTGTACAAAAGTGGCAGAAACAATTTTTTCAGTTGTGCAGATATAAATAAAGATTCTATTCTATTCCACTGAGTCAGAATATGGCTAAAAGTGACCACAACAATGCATTTTGCATTTATAGGCATAAGCACCCTGTTGAAAAAAAAAACAGCATATGCTGGTTAGGTGTGTTTTAAAGCATGGCAGCTGCTTTGAGCTGGTTTAAGCTGGTCCTTAGTTGGTCATGAGCTGGTTTAAGGTGGTCCTGAGCAGGAGCTAGTTTCTCAACCAGCTTAGGACCAGCACATGACCAGCTTAAACCAGCTCATGACCAGGTAAGGACCAACTAAGCTGCAGCTTAAACCAACTCAAACCAGGTGCCATGCTTCAATGTGCTATATAAATAATTTTAATTTTAGTTAAAACAGCAAATGCTGTTTTTTTAACAGGGCATCAATATTTTTATGTCTGCAATGCAGTTTTCATACAAAAAAATATATATAGGACAGATTATTTGCAGCTTCATTCTGCAGCCTAGAAGTAAATCTACTTTGTCATTCATTTGTCTTAGGTTATTATGCACTGTCATGTGCAGTATGAGCTGTTATCAGGCTGCAGTCAGACTTTGCTTCCCGTTTTAGCATTCTGCCCAGAAAATGGACAGAACAAACAGAGGAAGATATGGCCATTAATTCATTAGCACACACATCTACAGACAACCACAGAGCTACCGATGGCTTTCCAATGAGGCCAGATTATGTGAATCAATACAGATTCTTGGGACAGTTCTCCGCACCAGTAACAGAATTCATTCAAGTCAAGTCACCTTTATTTATATAGCACTTTATACAATACAGATTGTTTCAAGGCAGCTTCACAGTAATAAACAGGAAAATAACATAATCATTTTAGGCAAACGTCATCAAATATGAGACAAATTCAAATTCTGCTGTAAAGCTGCTCTAACGAGACAATAGTTTCATCATTCATCTCGAGTGTTTCGTGTTGTTCAGTACAGTTCAATAACTGTAAACTTCATCAATTATGAAACGAGTTCAGTTCAGCAACAAGCAGATCTACTGAAGAAAATAGTGTCATTATTCAGCTCGAGTCGGTTCAGTGTTGATTCATTTAGGTTCAATAACAGTGTTAATGTTGCAAAATTCATTCTCCAGTTTCAAGTATTTTAAATAATATTCATTTGACAAAAAAATGTTGCAAGACAAACAAAAGGCTTACTAATAAGAAACTTTCTTGCAGACATTCAGCCATTGTAGCTCCATGTCCACAGCTTTCTCAAATTTACTCTGCTTTAATCCTTAGCATACTTTGTCCTTTTAAGGGAGACAGTCTGTCAACCTGTGTGATGTGAATGTCCTCCTGAAAAAGGCAGTGAGTAAAATTCTAAGTCAAACAGAGTTTGGGATGGTTACAGGATGATTCGGAGGTCGTCTGCTGTAAATGAGGCCAGTGATCTCTGTGCTTTTACTGGATGTAAAACATCTCCCATGACTGTTCCTCCATAAAGCCAGTGTCCTCTTGAACACAGACTGCCTTAAAAAATACCACACAAGTCTTGGAGGGATTACTCAGATATTGCTTTGCATGTAAACACCTTTACGGACCTTCTGGTGGCTTATTTATTATGTCTTGTGTGCATGTCGGTTCATGTTTTGACATCCCCCCCAAAAATGTAAATTTAAATGTCTTGTCAATTCAAATTCTATTCTATTTGCAGCTGGATTTGAGTATGCACTAATTATACTGTAAGGCTGTTGCAGTGAAATAGTGTAATGTAGTGTAGTTTGTCCTAAATATAATTGGGATTAAAGGAATAGTTCACCTAAAAATTAAAATTTACTCACCCTTAGGCCATCCAAGATGTTGATGAGTTTGTTTCTTCATCTGAACAGAGTTTGGAGAAATTTAGCATTATATCACTTGCTCACCAATGGATCCTCTGCAGTGAATGGGTGCCGTCAGAATGAGAGAACATCACAATAATCCACAAGTAATCCACACGACTCCAGTCCATCAATTAACATCTTGTGAAAAGAAAAGCTGCATGTTCGTGAGAAACAAATCCATCATTAAGGTCTTCTTAACTTTAAATTGTTGTTTCTGGCCTTTCTCCATAATATTGTTTTCCCCAGTGAAAATTATATATTGTCTGAATCAGGAGAGAAATATGCACAGATCAAGCGCCATTTACAAGTGAAAACAGTCTAAAACAGTTCTAAGCAAGCATGTTGTGGATTTTGATATGAGAGAACTGATGGGGTTTTTTTTTACTGGAGAAAGTATTTTTATAGATAGAACACTTGTATTTTGGCCAGAAGCAACCGTTTAAAGTTCTAATGGCTTAATGATGGATTTATTTCTAACAAACAATCAGCTTTTTACTTCACAAGAGGTTAACTGATGGACTGGAGTCGTGTGGATTTTTGTAGTTTGTGGATTATTGTGATGTTTTTATCAGCTGTTTGAACTCTCATGATGGCACCCATTCACTGCAGAGGATCCATGGTGAGCAAGTCATTTCTCCAAATCTGTTCCAATGAAGAAACAAACTCATCTATATCTTGGATGGCCCGGGGGTGAGTAACCACTCCTTAACTACTCCTTTATATTGAAAACAAATGAAGATGTTTGCTGATATGTCTTGCTTCTTAAATATTTCTCCTCAAGACCCTACTAATCTCAATATGATCTCAAATATTGCTCATCAGGTTCCTGTAACACCAAATCAACTGAGCGATGCTATTCACTTTTATTTTATTGGTCTTTAATTTTGTTATAATGTATGTCAGCAGTTGTCTCTTTTCTTTCTATTTTTATATCTTAAGGTCAATACAATTTTCCTCAGGGTGAGACTGTCCGTGTGTGTTTGAGTCAAATAAAAAAGCTCTTCGTAAAGTACTGCAGACATCTTAAAAAAATAAAGGTCTGTTTTTGTTCACGGCGGAGCATGTCTGTGGAATGTAAACACTGTGTGGTTCATAGGTGAGCGTTTGTGGGTTTTAGCAACTAAATCAGAAGACTGGCTTAAGTCCAGGACAACAAGAGCAGAGGAGCTGCTGTCACAGTAATAGGCTTTTTGTTGAGGAATGCTCGGAAATGTAATATAAACAGCGATGATGTCATTTAAAGAGCATACTCCACCATATCAGACCAAGTTGTCCATCCACTAGCACTTGAGCAATTTAATGCCATTAGCAAAACTAAATGGATTTGCAAAAAATAATGGCTTAAATTGCCCAATGACTTTCTAAACAGGTTTTCAAAATACTCGTCTTCCATTTTTTGGTCAAACAGATCCACTTCAAAATTGTTGTACAAGAGGTTCCGTCTGGCAAACAAAGCAGTGTTTTGAGAGGCACAGTGTTTACACTCTTCATAAGTCAGTCTCTGTAGTGAAGTATTTTATCATGAAAATTAGACAACAGCTGATTTTTCACAGAAAAATCTTTGGAAATTTTTTGCTGTGAAGTTCATTTCAGAAAAGGTTCATTACTTAGTTCATGTGTGGGAGGTTACGTTGACTTTTAATTACTTGAAATGTGTGTACAATGTGTGTCTGTGATGCAAACCTCATTTTCAGCTAGTCTGATTTTTGTTTGCCGTGACGTCCAGCAGATTTTGTGTATTTACTTTCAGCTCTTGAAATATCCTCTTCCTTTCATCTCTTGTTTTTCTAAACCCACATTCCTTGTGGATTCATTGGATTCACATTGGCTATGTTTGGATTACCATACTATCATTCAGCTCTTACTGTCTACAGTGTATATAATATGCATAGTGTGCAAATTTTAATACCTGGATGACACACTACATTTGCCAAAATGTGTACAACAGAGTACATTGTATTGGATGCTGTTTCCCATATTGCAATGTGTTTGCATTACCTTCCAATTTCATGTGATGAATGAAACTGCCAGCCATGCTTAATAATATTAATAGTATCAGCTGTTTTACATTTTTTTCTACTCATAGTTTGATTGAATTGCCAAAAGTTAAGATTAAAAATGATAAGTGGACACCATTCATGTAATTAAATGTGCACATAATCATAATGAGTTCATGAGGTCATATTGTAGTATGACACTGTTTATAGTTGCATAATGCATTTTGTGTCACAAACAATTTTTTGAATAGTTGTATTTAGTGTATTCTGAGCAATAACCAGCGAGTTTCTATTTCAGGCATAGTCATTGTCTTTACTATGTTAAATAAATGACATGGACCTTTTTAACAATGTTTTTTGCACTGTACAGGTCAAAGGAACTGATCAAGTCAGCTATTCTGGACAATGACTTCATGAAGAACCTAGAGATGTCTCAGATCCAGGAAATAGTGGACTGTATGTATCCAGTGGACTATGACAAAAACAGCTGTATTATTAAAGAAGGGGATGTGGGCTCCCTCGTCTATGTCATGGAAGGTGAGAGACAGGAACGGAAAAGTTCCTTTTGAAAAGAGTCTGTGCTTTAAATATGTTTAGCAAGGCATAATTCACCCAAAATGAAAGTTCTGTCATCATTTATTCACCGTAATTTCTTTGAACCATTTGAGTAGTTTTTCTGATTATAAATCGGGCTGCCAAAAAGTCCCATAAAACTATCAAAACAGTTTTCTGTACTACCTATGTACTGTCTCCCAAAGCTTCTAAAGCCATACGATATCTTTTTGTTAGGAACAGACCAAACAGACCATTAAGTGACTTAATGTGGCTTTAGTGCACCGCTAGTCCCAGGGGTCAAAGTCACCATTTGGGTTTCTGCTGTAGATCACAATACTGGATCCAGAATATTGACCCTGTGATTAGATTATATTGATGAAATGCTTGTTAAATTGATCCTATCAGAGGAGCCTCTTAGAGCTGTTCGACTACAGATCCATTGTTAACTACCTTAATTTTAACAGTTTTATTGGTATGGGCTTTAAACAGTTAAAACTGACGCCAATAAGTAGAATAGACTGGCTGAGTTATAATGCCCATATATACATTTTAATTAGAATTAAAAGGACCCTTCAACTACTTTCTTTTAAGGGCTAAATTAGGCAAATGAAAGTTTGAGAAGTGCCCAGAATTCTTACTGAGTAGGCATTTCAAATTTGAAGACATTAACATAATATTTTAACATTTGTGGTAGTTGTTTTTTTTTAATTAGGAAACTGAGGATGAATCATTATATGTTATATTATATTTGACCCTGGATCACAAAACCAGTCATAAGGGTCAATTTTTCGAAATTGCTGAATAAATAAGCTTTCCATTGATGTATGATTTGTTAGGATATGACAATATTTGGCAATAATCTGAATAAATAATAATAATAATAAATTGAAAATCTGGAATCTGAGGGTGCAAAAAAATCAAAATATTGAGAAAACGCCTTTAAGTTGTCCAAATGAAGATCTTAGCAATGCATATGACTAATCAAAAATTAAGTTTTAATATATTTACAGTAGGAAATTTACAAAATATCTTCATGGAACATGATCTTTACTTAATATCCTAATGCTTTTTGGCATAAAAGAAAAATCTATAATTTTGACCCATACAATGTATTTTTGGCCATTGCTACAAATATACCCCAGCGACTTAAGACTGGTTTTGTGGTCCAGGGTCACATATATTATGTATTATACATCATATATGATTTACACAAGCACATATTTTTGACAGTATAATCTCTCAGTAATACACAATAATGGCCTTCTAACATACGTGAAATAAATGCATGCAGGTTCAGTAATGCTTCACATTTCTTTGCACAAAAATAATTAGACGGTGCTTGTATGCAATACTTTGTTGAGAATGTGCATGACATGACTTGTTAGCGCATTTTAGCAGTGTCATGAATGAGAGTATGTCCTTAGTCAAAATATATTTAGTCAAAATACATACAATCATACTTTTCTGTCCATGTGATATATTTTTTTAATCATTGTGGACGTGGTCTATCACTAGTATTTATATATTTGTTTATGCGTCAGTGTTGGATACTCATTTGGAATATTCTTTAAATATTTGATCTTGTTTTGATGACACCTGCAGAAGCCAGGTTAGGATTGTGTCGACCTCCTGTATCTGAAGTAATTACATCTGTCAATACATCTGTCAATTTCTGTGGTTTAATGAGAGAAAAGAGCTGTTGTGTTTTCTTAGGGTCAGAGGATTTTCTCCGTCTTTCCTCTTTATGTTCCTGAGGGAATGGTGGAACACTTGGTTTGAATTAAGGGATTTCGTTAGTCATGCTCCAGGGGTTTGATGCTTTTGTGGTACAAATTGGGCACTTGCCCAACATACTATATCCTGGCACAAGCCAATTAGAAAGAGAGACTAAGTGGATATTGGCTGTATACAGTCCCAGTACACATTACGGTATGTTGTTGTTCCGTAGTAATAAGAGATCTGTTCTCTCAGCATTAGCTCTGCCACATTCAGTTGTTTGCATAGAAAACAGCAGTTGATCAGCAAGAGCAAAGGATTCAGAGAGAATGGAGATTAGTGGACGACCGATATATCGGCCGATATTTGGCATTTCAAATATCGGCATCTGCCGATAAGTTTTTCTGCCTGACGTTTATTTTGATGGCACTGAGAACGGCAGCGCCAGAGCACACAGTGCTCACATTCTCCCTCTTCATTGTTTGCTGTCGTCATTTAACAGTTCTGCCTAATACAGATAGAAGTCTGTTTAATAATCAGATAGAACTGTTGAACAAATGAATTAAAAGGTATACAAAAAGTATTATAACGATTGCTTTTATATTATTAGTAACAGAAAGGCAGACATAATGCTTTCTTGTTTGCCGTCAACATTAAGCAAATACGCATATCATTTAAACAAACCTTTAAATGACTAATGAACATTTAAATTCACAAACCTTGCAGACTTAGTCGAATCCAGCTGTGAGATTTTGTGAAGTGTGCATTTGTATATTGCCTGATCGCGTGTGCTCTGCATGACAGTCGATCTGTGCGAATTGAATCCGGACAGGAGGAGAGTTCAGCTTCACTGTGATCAACTTTAAACTCGTTATTTCAAACTATGCTGATTTATGCATTTGCGCACTGTCATATTCATGTCATTTTTACTGCGTGCTGCATGTAAAATGAGTGTTACCTTGGCTTTAGTTGAAAAAATATGATTCCCAAAGCACACAAACTTCCCAGATTACCGAGTGCCCTGTTGGTTACAGTGTTTACTTTCTTTTT